CCAGATTGTTTTGCTTTTATAAAATTTCAAAATTTACATAGTTTGGTAGTGAATCACGGAATCTTTGTAGCAATATCCAATTGTAGAGAGGAGACGCCTGCATAGAAACTCAGCTTCTGGGCACATCATTTAATGAGGCTGTATCTTTATATGATTACTGTTTGGAAATAATGGCATTTTTGAGCTCAGCAGCACAGGTTTACAGTGCATGTTCCTGTAGCTCTTACTGTTTTTCAAGTTACTTGGAATAAAAACAGCAGTCTTTTAGACCACAAAGTTTTAGACACATCTGGATATTAAAGGTGAAAGAATTGCTGTTCTAACTTAAGAGGTCCATAGGAACGATGTATTAATATATGTATATATTTTGTCTTTCAAAACTGAACAGTTCTCCCGGTGTGCTGCTTCTGATGCCATTGCAAAATAGACCAAAATAAGTATTTTGCAGTGTGTTCCTGTTGGGCCATCCCCACCAATGCACTTTTCCTGCCAGGGTGAGATTATTATGGCGCTTCCTGAGAAAAAGAGGGAGGGTGGGTGATTTTTCAGAAAGACTCACCCTGTACTCACTACTGGGCATACACAGCTCGGAGGGCAGATGAGCAGCAGGGTCCATTGCTTCCACACCAGGCACTGTCTTGGCTTACAGGCCTCACCTAGGCAAAACCAGGCCTACCTCCCCTTCAGTTGTCACGTGGTGTTGGAAGGCTCGTAGTCAACAAACTGAAAGAGGATCAGAGTGAACAAAGCTCTCTGGTTTCCGTAGCAAAGGAAAACGTGGCCCTTCCATTTAAATCCCTCTTACTTTTCTCCTTACAGTGTCAGTGCCAGAGCAGTCGGTGACCTTGGCAGAGAGCTGCGACGGAGGCTCCTCGCTGCAGCTGCCCCTTAGCCACAGGCGCGTTTTCTGCTCCAGGCACTTCCCCCTTTCACATGCAGTCTTTAGGTTTGATAAATGTATTAATTGCCACTGAAAAATGCATATGAACTTACCAGCAGCCCCTTCCTTGGGGATTTCTGGCATTCTAAGCTGAAGTGCAAAGCCAGGAAGGCAAAGGAGACTCATTCCAGACAGGCATTTGCCTGTCCCAGACACATATTTGCTGAAGATATGAATTAGCAAAGAGAATTTTGTATAAAACTATCTTTGAAGAAACAGTTTTTCAGTACGTGAGAAGGAGGATGAAAAAGAATAGAAGACACTAATAAAATAAACTTTTCATTTAAGATTGGTTTCACTTTGAAGTTAGGTGGTATCACAATAGATTTGAGCATATTTTTTGGTATTCTCTAAAAAAATACAGTTGATGAGGAAACAAAGAGAAAAAAACAAAGCAAAATAAGCCTAAGTTCAGTATATATTATATCATCAAAGGAGCAGATTAAAAATGTTACCATAGTGAAATATAAAACCTCTATGAATACTGCAAATAAAGGTGGGTTTCTGTAGGAGAGGAGACTAACTCTGCCCTTGGAGCTTCTCCCCTTTAAAGGCACTGCACTGTATGAGCAGGGGATGGCACGGCCAGAGCCCAGGCGCTGCCTCCTCCCTTCAAGTAGGATCTATGTTTCAAGGCCAAAGACACAAAGACCCTTTGCCCTGTTGCACTGGAAGAGGGCCGCTGTACTGCTGGGCTTTCCACCCGCTGCAGACATTCAGCGAGGAGGAATGTGCTCCGGGCACGACTTGTTGTGACCAGCGGTGACCCAACCGCTTGTGCCTCGTGCCCTCCGGCGCCCTGCGCGCGCGGGCATCCGCCTCGCTTTGCTGGTAGCTGTGCCAGTACCAGGCTTCACTATCCCTACAGGCAGTAACTTCTCAAAATCCCAAATGTGGAAGCTCACCATTTCTTAAGAAAGCAAATGATGCCTTGGCATAACAACTAAGTTTCTTTCAGCTGCAATTCAGTTTTAAAGAGCCTGACTCAAAGCACAGGGAACCCTTTCCAAAACTTTCACTTGTCTTCCCCCCCCCCCCCCCCCCCCCCCCCATTCTTCCTAATGGGCTCTGGAACAGATCCCAGCCCCTAAATTGCTTTCAGGTGTCCCAGGATATTCACCACAGGGTACAATATTACAATTAAGAGTCCAAAGGATGCTAAGTTGGTACTTACAGGTACACAGCACATACTGCTCCCTCCTTCTGTGCTGCTTGTCAGAGGCCAGTGCCCCCTCTCTGTGGTGTGCACACTGGTGTCTCTACAAAATATGCAGAAAAATAGATCAGTTTGCAAAAGAAAAGAAAGACTTTTCCTTTGGTGATTCCATTGCAGCTCATGAAGATACTTAGCTTTGCTGCTTAACACAGTTAATGAACTATAACACAGTTGAGGAGAACAGGCTACATAGATTCAGGTGTGTTGCGGGGGTCTGCACTGCCATGTGGATTATAATACTGGAGTATGGTTTGGGTGGTTTGGAGGGGAGCACTAAACTTCACAGAATTAAGAGAGCACGTGAAAATAGTCTTTTCCCCTTGTCTGGAAAGAAAAATGAAGGATTTTTTTCCACAACTGAAAACCCTCTAAAACTGGGGTTCTAAACTGCTGGGATATAGTTAAGTAAAAGGATAAAAGAGGTGTTTGGCAGAGGTTTGCATTAGTGCAAGCAGCAGCAGCCACTGAAGAGCTGCACCTTTGATGTTGGGTGGTTTAGAGCTAGAACTATTCCACAAGCTTAAAAACGACTGTGGCAAAATGCCTGCTTGGGAGACAGCAACAATTGGAAAAACTGACTGCATGGAAGCTGGCTGCTTGCCTGAAGACATATGGAATAGGAATGAAATGGTATCGTTTATTCTGAACACGGCATGGTGCAGACAGAGGGAGTCGTGACAGAAGCTGACAGCTAATTGGGAACCACAAACCTCCAACGTGCTACCTAGCATTGTGATTTCCAACCAGCTGATTATGTAGCAGCACAAACTTCAAAGTAAACCATCAAAACACATATTATTCAATAGAGAAAAAGAAGCTGCAAATTATGGCAGTTTATAGGCTGCCAGACTCAGGGATACTCATCTCTCACTGCAGCTGACGCGCCTGCCCCTCAGCTGCAGACGTGTGGCCGAGATGCTGTTTCTCTGGCTCAACAGGAACGAGGCCCCAGGCTGCCTTTGCCTCTGCTCCACGCGCTGGACAACCAAGTGTTTGAAAAACACCTCAGATGACCGGGATGGGTCACCTGAACAGAGCACTGCTCAGCACGCAGAGCAGCCCTATTCGGGGCACTGCAAGTGGCTTCTGTAAACTTGAATATGGAAAAGATGTGAAGACAGGATAGCAGCTTCACTGTATAGTCATTTCCTCTCCAAAGGACAAGGTTCAAGCCTCACTTGAACTTCTAACTGAGCTAACTGCATTATCATGCAGGTTCAGCCCAGTTGCTCCTGCAGAAACAAAACCCAATTGGAGTGAGGTGGAAGCAGCCAGTGGGCTGGGGAAAAAGCACCTAAGGAAACAAAAACAAAATTAAAAACTGAATAGTAACTTTAAGTAAAGGTTGCAGAGCTGAGAGTTGATCTGTTCCATAAAGTGAGATGCATGTGCACCAAGCAGCAGTCAAGCAGTCTCTTTGGAGAATTCTGGAATTTTTGTGTAACACTTTTTAATACTGACAAATAGCAAAACTATATCATCGACCTTACGATGACAGAAAGGTGAGTATCCTGTACAACTGACTCATGCAGGAATCGTGCTGTAATTAGTTTTCTATTGGTTACCCTATATCTAATTTGGAGAAAATACATTTCAGAGAACAGAGTTAATCACTTAATTTTGAAGCAGCAGCAGCTGTAAAGGAGAACAGAAAGCCCCTTCCCTGTGAACCAGGCTTTCCAGGGACACACAGGAGCATTTACCCGCTCTCACTTTCAGAGGTCCTTTCTCAGCACCACACCTCTACAGAAACCACAGCCAGCAGAAAACACCCAGGGAAGAAGGTGGCCACTTTGCGCTTTCTCCACGTGGGACACAGAGAAATTGAGCCTTCCCCGCTGTGGCGCTTGGGATGTTTCTGCGTGGAGAAGCTTGACTCTGAGGTTCAGGAGGGGCCTTGGGTGGCCTGCTCTGCCCAAGCGCATGAGTGTTTTTAAGGCCACGAAGCGTGTTCAGCTCCAAGAGCTGAGCGTTGCAGCCAGGCCTCCTGGAGGGGCCTGGCGCTGGCCAAGGCAGACGCAGTGTGCCTGAGGGAGCAGAGGTTTTTTCTCTGGGATGTGTGGCTCTTAACTTGCCAATCCACAGTCAGTGTTCAAACCTACCTGCTAAATGGTTGTGTACACTAAGCAATCTTTGGGGTACAGAGTTAGCTGCATGTATTCTGAAAGCATGTGAAAAGTTACATTCTTGGACCAGCTAAAGCTTAGCAAAGGTGCTCAGAGATACCCAGGGAATGACATCAGCCAAGCACTATCCCTGCCTATTTCTCAATATTCAGATGAAATGGAAATGGGGATTTGAAATGTGTGCAGGCAGTTAGGTGTTCGCAGCTGTGAGCCTGCAGCTGATGAGCCATGGTAATAACTGCACTGCAGGCATGCTAGCAACCAAGAAAAGGAAATCAAGGGATGCAGTGACATGTATGGCCTTCCAAAAGTACCAGCTGTAACAGAGAGCTGCTGTTACCATAATGTTCCAGCAAGGCAGGGAAAGTGCTGCAGGTTGAGCATAGAAGCTGCTGCTGACACTGCAGAGGTGCTTAACTTGGCCTGAGAAGACTCTGTCTGCCTCTCGCAAAGGAGGCCAGGGGAAAAGCTTCCGTTTGTCCTGTTGCTTATGGAGTCTCACCCTGCTGCCTCCTGAGGGCAACAATCGCCAAGTGTGCCTGGAAAACAGTGTTGTTGTATTACAGAGCTGTTGTATGGAAAGACCCAAGGCAAGCTTATATTTCTTGGGAATCAAGAGAGTACATCAATTACTTTTCTTAAGGCCTTCTGGCACTTGAAGGAGAGGTATGAATTTCTGCCACATTACAGTAAAAGACACTCTTGTCCTTTTCTTTAGGAGTGTATCATTGATGAAGACTGTGACACAGGGAAATACTGCCAGTTCTCCAGCCTGGAGTACAAGTGTGAGCCCTGTAAAACCCAGCACACAGTAAGTCCTACATGATACGTGATGTTAGGTGGTCTTTAGAAACTCACCTGTATTCTTGTTGCTCATGTCAGCACACCAGACTGTTTCCTAAAGATGCATGGCTTGCTCTGTGAGGCTAAAAGAAAAAGAATCTCCTTCCACTTGCTTATTAACAGAATTAAGTTTAAAAGTTTCTGTTCTTGTATGCTTTAAAAACCTGTCCCCCACTTGACTTCAGCAATAATGGACTAAGTCATTGCTCCAAGTATTTGCAGACTAGTAAGTCTAGAAGCAAGTCAGCCTTGCTGTGAAGTCAGCTAATCAGTAGGATTATTATTAAGTAAAAGCAACAGGCTGCCCCTGCAGTGATCTAAAACCTTAATTCGGTAACTCCAGGGAGATTTAATGACTGGGCATTGCATGTTGGCTTCAAATCCTGCGAAGTTTCAGTTCAGGTGTCATTAAGTCAATTATTTGAAATTTTTAAGATGTTAAATGGATCATTTTTCACATTAGCATGGAACAATTAAAAAGTTTAGGATGTTTCTGGAACCTACTCCCAATCCCAACTCCACTTTTCTATGCACTGCTCAGGAAAACAATATAAATGGGCTGAAAATTATGTCCTAGGCTCTGCTTGTGTTACAAAGTGAGCTCAGACTGGCCATGGCTGATCAATTCCCTTGGAACCTCCACAATAGCACAAACAAGCAGAGAAACTCTTTATAGGTCATGTAGTGCTAGCACAGTCTTATTTCTTGCTACGTGTAAATGATTCCCATGTGATATACCAGAAAAGAAACACCTGATTTTTGTATGGTTGCCCAGATAGGGCTTTACACAGACAAAGGAAAAACAAACAAAAAACAAGCCCCCAAATTGACCTACTAGGAATCTCTTAAGATATTCAAACTACAAAACAACCCAAAGCAAATACGCACCCAAAAAGGAAACACGCCACCAAAGCAAAACACACTAGCACTGAATGAGGCACTGCTTTCAGAGGGCTGATTCAGTAGGTTTGTGTTGGTGGCAAAGCTATCTAGATATTTGCATTTCAAAGGCTCTTGATTACAGCTAAGGTATAGTTCATATTTCAAATAAAACAGGATTTTGCTAAGATCAAGCTTTGTTCTTTAAAAGCACTGGTGCTGATCAAACTATAAACTACTGTGCTTAACAGAAGGGATATTCTGTACTTCCCCAAACCTTGAAGGCAAAAGGCTGTCTTGAAATGCACATTTACTGTAGGAGGTCCGACTACTGTTCAGTTTGCATCTAAAAACTTAAAAAGAAGTTGAGAGCTTGTAAGAGTGAGAGTATAACTTACCTTAAGCAGTGCCATAGCTCTGCCCTTGAGCTCCTCATCTAGCAAACAGTTCCAGCAGGGCTTGAAGCTGAGAGCACAAGCAAGGCTGTGTGAACAGTGGGAGCCCTGCACACTGCCTGCAGTCATGCCACGTGCAGTTGTCCTCCTGGCCAGGCTGTTTCTGTGCCTGCATGCCTGGGGAGGCCCGCAGGTAGGGACAGCTCTGTCGCATGCTCTTCCATTTGCCAGCACTGCGCACGGGACGTCGAGTGCTGCAGCGACCAGCTCTGCGTGTGGGGCGAGTGCAAGCAAGCGGCTTCCAGGGGCGAGAACGGCACCATCTGTGAGAACCAGCAGGACTGCAAACCTGGAACGTGCTGTGCTTTCCAGAAAGGTACCCAGGTTTCCGACCTTATTCCGTGTGCTTTCTAGAACAGGACTGCTCATGTTTAGCTGCTTTGCTTGAGTGAACTGGTTAAACCTGTATGGAATCACTGGTCATCTCTATGTTAACTTCTTTATGAAAGCTTTAATAGCATTGGGGATGGGAAACAACAGGAGCATCCTGTGGATAAAAAAAGCCTACTACGTATAAACAGTGAGAACAATATCAGAAATAAAAAAATATCATGTTTGTAAAGGATCTGAGTCACTTAAGAGCTGCAGAGATCTGTCTTAATACTGATTGTCTTTACCTAATAGAAAGAGGGTTAAACGATGGATCCCAGTGTGTAAAGAGACTTAAAAAGAGACTTGTCTTTGTCACTGTGTATACAGAACTGAAGGTTTGAATTAAGCAATCTCCATTTAACGCTCAGTTAATGAATTTTCCTAAACTTCGCTCCCTCTGCCCCGCAGAACTACTGTTTCCTGTGTGCACCCCATTACCTGAGCAAGGTGAACCCTGCCACGATCCTTCCAACAGACTTCTCAACCTCATCACCTGGGAGCTGGAACCTGACGGAGTCCTTGAGCGATGCCCGTGCGCAAGTGGCTTGATCTGCCAGCCGCAGAGGTAAAGGTCCTCTTGCTCACATGTTTTGACTGATTTTCAAAGTTAAGGATGAGAAAAGATCTCAGACCCATCCTAGACATTCCCAAGTTTGGCAGGAGTTTTTTCCTGGTGTAAACACAGTTTGTGGTACTGCTTTTTAGTCAGAAAAGTAACAGCAGCTGCTCAGAAATGACATTTTGATTTTGTTCTCTGCACACAGCCCTTACCAAGCACTTTTCTCCATTAGATTAGGATTTGCTTGATAATTTTCTTTCCTACTTATGTATCAAAAATATTTTAGTGCCTGAGGCACTAAAGTGAGTGCCTGAACATGCATGCTGTGGAATGATTTACAGAAGATAAATCCTCTCACAAGTAGAAAGACAGATGTTTTGGCTTGCTCTTCCCTGCAGTTTCAGCATGATTTGAGAAGCTAGTTTCCCTGCAGCTGACTTAAGACCTGCTGCCCAAGTTTCTTGCTACCTTACACCTTTCATTCTAGTGGCTTTTGACAACGTAGCATATCCACATTTCTTATTTACTGTATAGAATAATTTCCTCTTCTTCCCTGTCCAACATTTATTCTACCTTTTTTTAAAAAAGCAATGGAATAATATTTTTTCAAAAATTGATCTAAGGAAGCAAAACAGATCCTTTCAGCACAGTAATTTCAGCTAATGTGCAAGTGCTATCAACCTCAGCCAAGGTATATCAGCAACACGTCAGATATAGTGAGGAAAACATTTCACATGAGAATATAAAAAGCAGATATCAATTAGAATGAGAATATATCTGAGCAATCCAGCTATAGCCACAAGAATTAGTTACCTGTCTAGTATCACACCATTATAGTAATACTGTGCATACTGCCTGCCAGTGATTCACATGGAAAGCAGGCTAAAGCTCTGAACTTTGTGAAATTTGGTGAATTTGAACCTTTTCTATTAAAAGGACAAACCAAATCAACAACAAAAACCCCTCTTGCCTCCTCCCCACACCACCACTTGAAGTGCCCTCCAGCTGAAAGCATGCCTAGTGCCTGATAAATACTATCAGCAGGCAACTGGACGAACTTTCAAAGCAATAAAAACGGTAGCAAATTCAACTACTGGGCCACCCCATTTAGCAGCAAAACTAAAGCTTGACAAATTTTAAAGTTTGACAACACGCAGTATTATCTTATTTTCTGCATTCCTCTGCAGCTGAAGTATTTTGTTTCTTAATTTGGTATTACGCCATTAACAAAGGAGCAGTCGCTTGTGGCACCGCAGTCTCTTGTGGCACAGGAGTCAGACTGTGCTGAAGGCCACTGCCATCTGGTGTCCCAGGAGCGAACGTGGCCTGTGGTTCTAGCTCTGCATGGGCAAAGCTCCACCTCAGCTCTCCAACCATCAAGCTTGTAAAAGTCAGATTATCAAGCCAGCTATGTAGATACAGATGACAGTTTCACATGTCTACTAGGCTTTCACGGAGGGAGGGAATCAAGAATTTGATTAAGGACCAAGCAACAGGACGCAAGGAGGTGCACTCTATGACTATGCTTTTCTTCTCCCAACAGCCAGAGCACTGTGTCTGTGTGCGAACTATCCACTGGAGAAACCAGAAGCAATGAAAAAGACGACCCCTTAATCATGGCTGAGATGCCCTTTCCTGGTGTGATACCCAGAGAGCTGCTCTCTGATTACGAAGAAAGCAGCATCATTCAGGAAGTGCGCAAAGAATTAGAAAGTCTTGAGGACCAAATAGGTTTGCAAGAGCCTGACTCTGCTCATGAGCTGTTTTTAGGAGATGAAATTTGAAGTCCCAACACCAGTTTAGTTATTCACTTATTTCTATGATTTTTGTCTCTAGTGTCTTGCTTATATAAACCCTAAGCGCATACTGCTGGATAGAAGTGCAATAAAAAAGGTTTTTGGTGAGCACCCTTTCCTGGGCACCAACGCTGCATGTTCAACTACAGCTGATTTCATTCTGTCAACCCTTGGATCAATCATCTGCTTAAAAGACAAGTAAGAAATCCCAGCATTTCCTTTGGATTGGTATGTCCCCTTTTCACATTAGAACTAAACCTGCCAGTGCTTGTACTCATTAAAAGTATTAACTTATTAGCAATCCTATAAGTTTTGAATATTTATTGTACATATTTTTAGAACTGCTTATTTTTCTAAAGTAAGAGCCATCCACTTGCTTCAGGGCTGTTTTCAGCTATTAGTCTCAAATGCTGTATTTTTTTTTTTCCTTTCACAAATATAATCAGTGAAGCTGCAATATATAGATGCCGATTTTTCCCCCCACATTGTAGGAGGAGGACAAAAAGGAAAGGAGGAAGGATAAAAAGGTGCCTACTCTTACGTGAACACACCCACCTTTGCAGCTGGGTACAAGAGAAGTCATTTGTCTTGCAACAAACTTCAGCCTAATGTAAGTGCTGGTATCCCCCAGCTATAAAGCATCCCTTTAGTTTCCTGCTTGGAGGAAGGGTGGTCCTTGGCCCACTTTGCCCCCTCAGTGTCTGAGACATGGCCAGGGAAACCAACCTTCCTGCAAAAACACCACACCCCAGCCCAAATACACCCCATTTTTCCCTAGGGAAAATAAATAGTGTGTACATACTTACACACAAACACATCCATTTGCTTATGGAAACTTTCAGGCTGGCTGATGTGGGCTGTATTTCCCAAAGGCAAAAAAAATCTATTACTTAAAATCGCAAATCTAACAAATGGGCTGAACACCAGGAACACAATCTCAGCTGTGCACTAAATCCCTGTGTATACACACACAGACACACAGGAAGAGCACAGTGCAGCTGCACTCAGGAGGCTGCACTTCAGCTAGAGCAAGTTCTAGCACCACCTCCCAGGCAGCGTTTTGCACTATGTGGGCGCCCCTTTTTGGGTAGCGCTGATTCAGGGATCTGTGGACTGTACTCTCCCCTACTACTCTTAAGGGAGAAAGGGGAAGTTAATACAGGTTAATTAGTTCTATTTCTCAGACACCCTAAGTAGTTTTTATTCACATTTAGGGACTTGCATCTCCCCCACCTGTCTACACCAAGAGGAAGTTCTTTAAGAAATGGTTTGTGTTTTTAATGCACTTCAGAGGCATATATCTGCTTAGTGCAAATATTATCATTACCATTTTAACAGGTCATTTGACTTACAAAATCAATAGCAAGCTCGGAATAAAGTCTGATCCATCAAACTCCCAGGTTCCCAGCTGTCTCATAACAGTTTGCTACAATGAACAGCTCTCCCAATACCGGATGTCATAAGGCTCCAGCCAAGTAACTTTTCAGAAAGCTTCTCCCCAACATCAGTCCCAACTATTTATGTTTGACATCAGCACCATTAGCTAAGCAAGAGCAGTCAGCTGAGCTATCAGCCTTCAAATCTTCCACCCGTTCTGCTCTGCAAAAGCCTTTCAACAAATTCCTTGGGCACAAGAACTCGGGCGGATAATGACGATTGCTGTGTTCTGCACAGCAGGGACATTTCATTAGAACAGTCTGACTGTTCATTTAAGAATGCATTTTTACCACAAATTCTCATACCAACACATGCATGCACACGTGATCTCTGCCCACTCCAAGTTCACCAAATTACCTCTCCTTTCACCTCGTATAAAATGACGACACTTTAGACATGGCCCATCAATACAGTGATTTGTCTCTTTATAAGACTTACTTCAAGCAAGGAGGAACTGTCTGTGCTTAAACTGGGTAGTCTCTATTTAACAGGGCTACGCGCTAAGGGCAACAAGGTTCCTGATGTCTCAACCCAAAAGGCAAAACAGTTGATTCATTAGAGCTTTTAGCATGATTTCAGCAGAATTTGCTAATACTAATTAGCTAATTAGAATTAATTAATTAGGAACTCTGCTTGGTTTCTTTCCTTTAAAAAGCCCATAGTTAAATCCAAAACAAAATGATCACAATACACACTGAAACAGACACTGAAAAATGTCTCCCAGAACACCCAGCTATATATGCCAATAAACTGGTACGGAATTGTGCTACTGCTGGAAAATTACTATAAAGATGCCCTTCAGTGTTCCATCCAGGTTTCCACCAAAGCTTGCAGGTTTAAAACTAATTACTCAGCTGAAGCTTCCCAAAGAGCACTAGGGATTACTTTACTCTGTGGCTAGTTTTCTGGTTCCCCAGATGTCTGCCTGGAGGAGGAACGAAAAAAAAGATTAAAAAAAAAAAGCATGATGCATTTATTGCCGAATCCTCTCCAGTCTTCCAGCAACTCTTACAATTTCTTTAGACTTCTATATATGCACTTACCTGGTAGCTCAATTAAGCTACTCCACCTGCAGGATGATACTTACACCCTGCTTCCATCTCACTTTTGTGGGAGATGAGGCAGCCCAGATGCAATGGAAAAAGGAGGAACAGGGAAGCTCCTCTGCGCAGCCCAGGCTCCCAAGCTGCCGGCCTCCTTGGGCTGCTTAGGCTGCTGGACAGCAGTCAATGTGCAGAGAGGAGCTGCAGTCACTTCTCCAAACAGCTTTGTCTTCTCTTGAACAAAACTTAGCTGCCAAGCACACCCAGAGCCTGCAAGTTTCACCAGTGAGGAATCCAATTCTAGAAAGGAAGCTTCAGGTGAAAAAATTCTGTGAATGTAAGCAAAAAGAAGGAGCAAACAGGTTTTAAAATGCCACATGTAATAACATACCCTGTTACAGGCGTGGGGTATGTGTGTATACATGCACATACACTACCTTGACATTCACACCAGCTGTGCTGGAGAAATCTGCATTTCTGTGAAATCTGATTTTTGTCAAAGAAATCCACAGTATTTAATGACCAAAATAACACAGCAGAATGAACAAATGTTTTATTGGCATGTTCATTGTTGTAAACAGCATCTGGCATGAAAAAGTTTACCAAAATCATTTATTATAAATTAGATGGTATTCCAAAAACTACGGAGACTTGTTCTCTATTGATCTTTATGGACCAAAGCAAAAAATTGCTGTTCCTAGGCTTTGCAATGAAATCATGTTGGCTGCATCAGTCTTTGCACCACAACCTGAACTACCAAGAAGTTTGTACTTGTTGAGGTGTTGGAGGTTGCCCAAATACTTAACTACATATAGCTACAGAATCAACTCCAGGAAAAAAAATAAAATGACTTTCAGTGGGTGAAGATGCAAACTTGTAATAGTCTCAAAAACAAAATGTACAAAAAAAAAGTAGCTGAACAAAACAGAAACTTCATTAACAAGGGGAAATACAATCCTAAAGTACCCAGCATTGTCAAACATAAAATGAATACAAATTTAAATAGGCAACTATACTTTCAAATGTACACAATGAATGCTGATATGTGAAAAGAAATACCATGGTAAATAGCTGAACTGCAGTTCTGTTAAATGGAGAGGGCAAGTTTTATTTACACATCGAATGCAATAGCTGCTCACCAGCTTCCAGAACCTATTAAAACCCCAGTTTACCTTACAACAGCCTTTCTGCTCAACAAGCCAACACCTGCAGCAGCTTTCCAAAGACACCTGTCTCAGCCTGCCCAGTTGCTGGAAGGATATTCTAAAACCTTACAACACTTGCAGCACTTCCGTTACGCATCTGCGACCCCTTGTTGCAGCTTTTCCAGAACCCTTATTTTAACATGTACTTCAGACTCTCTGATGAGGTAATGTGTGTATCAGTGAAACAAACAGGAAAAAAAAAAGAATTCTTTCATGGCCTTTGCACAGCTTTTATTATTAAGCTATGAATATCCTGTTTGAAGCTAGTTTCACTAGCTACTATGTGCACACTGTCCTCAAAAATTTCCACTCATTTCCCTCCCCGCCCACTTTTTAGTTCTAATCTTTTATTTGCACATCCCTTTTAGCTTTACAGTACATTTAACTATAGTGCACAACATGATTCCAAGTCAAACAGTGACCCACTGGGGCACTGAGCTTCTGACTGGGAACACGGCCCAGTCAGTGCTGGTGTCAGCACTTACACCTAATGAGTGTCCTGCCGTAATGGCACTACACAGTAGTAGTGAACTTTTTTTTTATTTTAACAAAAAATTTCCCAGGGAAAATGCTATAGCAAGTATCAGTCTTGAGTCAAATCTTTATTTGGCGCTCCGTCCAGATATATTTTTAGTGCTTTTTCTTTACGAGGAGAGTAGGTTACCCGGTGTCCAGTTTTCTGCAGTCTGCTGCTTTCTTTTTTCATCAGTTCATTTCTCTGCTCCTCTGTTAATTCCATTAATTCTTCAGTTTTATCCCTAAAATGAAAATATTTCTTAAAACATACCTTAAAATTATCATTTTAATCCTAGTATTCTGTTTTGCAGAAAGCCATATAATTTTCTCCAAAGACATCACCTCAGAAAATAAAATCTTTGTGCTCTAAAATGTAGTCTTGTGGTACGATTCCCACAGATTCCAGTAGGGAATAAGGTATATTCATCCAAGCAGGTTTGCAGGAACCCATGGAACATTTTCCAGCTCAAAGTTTTCAACCCTCTCACCCTAAGTAATTTTCTCCAAGACAAGAGAAGAACAATGTTCTTGTGGAATTGTATCATTCTACAAGCTAAGATGCAGATTTTTACTGCAATACATACCTATAAAATATTACTGCGCCATCATCACAAATATACAGAGGCCAGACATTCAGTGTAGAAACTTTTGGATTCCAGTCCAAGTCCTGGTGAATCTCTAGTACAGAAATGTCACATGGAAAGGTTCCTCTACCCTGAAAAGCAGCAATTACTTTGTGAATAAAATTACATATCTATTCCAATACAATATAGAATGCACATATCATCTTACTAACCTTTGCAAATTCTATGTTTTCTAAGGGTATTCCACTTATTTCACTCAGCTGTAAAAGAAAGCAAAGATTGTAGTTTAATACTATTTCACATAAATGTTATGTAGCATCTATATAGAAGTCAGCATGCATGCCAAATCTAGAAGTCCAATGAAATATTTAAAAAGTAATTTATAAAAGAATGCAGTGAAACAGTACCAATGTTTGATACTTCTGCTGTGACAGTACATCACATTGCTAATCTAAGCAGTAGGGAAGCAATAAAAAAAGCAATAATATGCACACTCCAAAACACCAAGTGACCAGCTGCCTCATATTAAACAGCTGCTCCAGCAACTGGCCCCTCATCAGTTTACCTGCATCAAATGAAAGGTACCACCACATTTGACCTAAGACTGGACAAAGCTGCAAAATTTATCTGGGGAAGCAACCAGAAAGAAAAGAGTGGGCTGAAAACATTTGCTACCACAGAGGGGTCATTCTAATTTGTTTTTACTGGTGGGAGCAAATAGATTAATGCTGCTCAGAGAAGATAGTGCTAAATTATTCCTTACACAATTCTTAAGATAGGAAAAGAGGCGCCAGCTCCCCAGCCAGACAAAATTAAAGCCATGGACAATTTCACTTGGATGGAGGCCTAACACAAACGCAACACTGGGCAAGGCTGAGAGGAGCACCTTCCAGCTACGTGCAGAACCCTAATGTACGATCACTGTCAATTTTAAGGACGCAAGATTTTTGGCAGATGTCCTTTTGCTGGCATCACCATGCAGGACAGTCTTTTTGCATCTGGGTACACCAGGTAAAAATAAAGATTTATCTTAAAAGCTGAACCCTGCAACACATTGGATTAATAAAGTGTTCTCAGCATGAGATGCACTTCATACTCCAGATATCTGCTAGGACAGCACATGGCTGCTTGCCTGCTAGTGGGGTCTTGGCAATAAGGAAAAACAAGAGGCAATCACATGAAAACTATTTTTCTTTTCGGCCAAAGTATAATTCAATTTTACTAGATCCCATTACATAGCCTCTGGGCAAGAGCTCTCAAATTCAGGCATGAAAAGTCCAAAAGGTTTCATATTTTGGAATGCAAAAGTAATCTCTTGGGAAAACAAAAAAAAAAGGAAAAAAGTGATAAAAGCCTAACTTTGCTTTCACAGGTTATGCTTTCCAAGAATAAGGGCCAATAGTTGAATTCAAGGCTTCTTCAAAGGTGCATTTGTTTTTAAATACTTGCATTCACACTTCAGTATGAGCCAATTTCATGAAGCTACAAGGTAAACTGATGAATCCTATGGTTCTGGTAATGGGAGGGGAGAAGCTCTCAAAAGCTCATGAAGAAAAAAATCACTAAGTAGCTATGAAGTTATCAGTACTGCACAATGAGAAAAAAATCATTAAAGCTCTTGGCTACCACAAGAAACTTGCATCATATTCCACATTTTACCTTCTCTCTCAATTCATCAACACTGCTGCTTTCCAGCACGACTTCCTGGAAAGAATCCAGCTTCATCTCCGATGGCCTCCAACGTCTTGACAGAACAGCAAGCTGCGACATAGATTTCATTTTTTCTACACCTAAGAAAAAGAATAGAGTAACATCACAAAATAGTCCTATTTAAAATCAGAGGGTTTTAGATAGCATTTGTATACTCAAATATGACAGGCTGCATATTTACACAAACTAGCCAAGATTAAGCGAATAGCAAAACGAAGGAAAAGAAAAGGAAGATAAGGGGAGGGAATTAGTTGCACTTTTCTATTTCCTCATTTCAAAGGGTTGTTCATAGTTGCCATCTCTCAAGAGTAACACTGGGCATTTCTCTTCACGAATTGCCCCATCACACACGGCTTGGTCACGTACCAGCACCCACCCCTCCAGCCACGGGCCAACCTCCGGGTTTTGCACCCTCCTAAGGCCCTGGGATGTGCTCTTTTCCAGAGCAACCTTGCCAGCTTCTACTTCTCACACAGTGACTTTCAGCTTGCTTAAATGTGCTTTAACCTACCATCTTTAAAGACTTTTAATACTCTAGCATTTTCATATCACTTTCAGGTATCAAATTCTTCTAATCTAAACAGTAATACTGCTAATGCCATTATTAGAGAAGCCTATATGATACCAAAGGGCTGGGCTGATTATTTTTAATTCAGACTAGTTGTCATTTAGCATGCAGAACTTGTGGCTTTAACACTTGCCTACTAACAATTTCATTCTGCATGAAAATAACAACACTCTTTGAGCTTCCTTAATGCCTACTTGTATCTTGTCCATGGCTACATTTGTGCTGCAATTCAACACTAAGCTACTACCCAAAAGGAAAATGCAACCACTTAATCCTTCTCAGTGTTTATTTCAAGTCTGAAGTAATTACACAAGATGTCTTTGAAACCAGAGACTAAATTAAATATTCTTGCAACAGTCTGATGTAAAGCTGCTACGCTATGACACAACTGAAGTTACTCTAAGGGATGTCATTTAACTAATGCCTCCCACGGGTACTTGTAAGAAGAGCACAAGAGCGGTGGTGACAGCAGCAGCCATAGAAATCCTGACTTAAAGCAGCTGCCTTAACCCTTGTGCCAAGCCCTGTAGTGCAGCAGGTACCAGTGGCTTTTAGTCCTCGTGGAAAACAGTGAGATTTCTGGGCTAAAGCAGCACATTTGGGCCAGACAGTAGGCACAGTATTACAGAACAACTGAAAGCCCCATGACACTTCTGCAAGCTGCGTTAGTGATGATGATCTACAAAGTTGTTATTTCCAAGACTCAATAGAGGAAATGTGGCAAACTACTCCAAAACTAACTCAAAAATCTAAAACAGGAGAATGTCAAGGTATCTGTCAAGTGTGAAAGAACAGAAATGTCTGGGGGAACCTGCAGTCCTCCCAAACTAATTTCAAAATTTTACTAAAATTTTGACTATGCAAGTACAAAAATATTATGATGGAACACAAGTATGAAAAATGCTTATGAAACTAGAGTCACAGTTATTTGAGGCTTCTAAGCCAGAAAGCTTCAGTTTCTACTCGCTCTGCATCTTTTCTTCACACCTTCCATCTGTTCTCCACAGACACAGAAAATCAGCACGGCCTTTTCTACTAAAATTTCACTAGCAGCAATCAAAAAAAGAAAAAAGGGAAAAGCATCATGATTACCCTCAAGTATTTCTAAGAAGACCTCCCAGTTGCTTGAAATATTGATATCTTCTTCATAGACATGATAATCCAGGAACACAGTGCCTGGGTTCTTCCAGGTTTTCTTTCGTAAGCGAAACCTGTGAACATGGAGATAAATGATCAATTTTAATCGGCTCCTAGCAAGTTACCACTGCCACACAGTTTAAAATAGAATAGTCTGACAGCTGAAACACAGCTCATTTGAGGTACATTATGCTTATCAGGTACAGCTTTAGCATTCAACAAGGTACTGCTCCACTCATAACGCTGCATCATTCAGAATAACAGGAGCACAGGCCCACGTGTGCTTGTTCAGTGCATGAAATGTGTAAGGAAACATTTTATTCCTATTCCTATGCAGGATGAGAAGGTCATGTGTTCCCAAATGTCTCCTGACAGTTTTCTCCAACAATCTGGAAAGTAGCTGGGGAGCTCAGAACGCTGGTACCTGGCTTATGTACTGAAATCTACTGCATCTCTTCTAGTCACAAGACAGAGGGACGAACTTTGATTCAGACAGAACAACACAGAGCACTGCCACGGGATTAAGCACGAGGACAGAGCTTGCAGGGTAACTGCACACTCCTACACAGAAGCAAATAAATCTTGCCACGTGCCATGTAAGCCTAGGGCACCACACAACGTAATCAAGCACAGCAGACTAAGCCTCTAGCCCAGTCAGGGATCATATTGGTGAGGGTAAAAAACTCCTCACCACTCCTTTTGACAGACTGATACCAAGAACTGTAAATTACCATCTGTATTCCCAGCTTGATTCAAACACAGTAACTTGTTTCTACCCTTTCACAACTTCATCATTCCGAAAAGAAAGAAAATACCTTTGTAAAGAAACGTTTAGTGAAGTAACTTCAGCGCTGATTGCAGGCTCCTTACCTGTCAATGGTTAAGTCCAGGCCACACTGTTCTTGCAGCTGAGGAAGGAGCTCCTCTTTGGACTGTCGGACAGTCATTCCTTTAGCAAAAACTGCATCTAGAAGAAACTTGCATGGCTGCAAAGGTAACAGATACAGAATGATTACACAGTTACAAATAAACAAATCTACAAACAAAATAGTCCTGTCCCTTCCAGATTGTCTTTTGCCAGAAAAAGCTGTACTACTCAGCCAATCATTCTGGAGAGCATTGCTTGCAACACGCACAAAGACAATTGCTTATAGTAGCACTATACTACTGATAACCACAACCACAAGCAAATATACTTTCTCATTTGAAGAATTCTTTCTCAAGAATTCTGCATTGCTTTCCTACATCTTCATTTATCCTCTACTTACACTGCAGAAATAAAGAAACTCAAAGGAGATACAATAAATGATATTCCAAGTGTATACTTTAGATAATACAGGAAGAAATAACCTCAATTCCTCTTTTTAAATACTTGTAAAGATAGTAACAGCTTTAAGTACTGCAGGAATACTTTTAGGAAAACAGCAGAGTCTTGATTTTCTTTCTTTTCTTTTTTTAAACTCCAAATATTTCAGAGAACAACGGTGGCTACAGCATGCATTATCATGAATCACTATTTCTTGACACTGAGGTATTCAAAAACCTTACCTCTGGCTCATTTACTAAAAGCTGGTACACTTTGACTCTGTATTCCCCCTTCTTAAGGGCTCTTCCAAGTCTAATCGTAATCTATAAAGAAAATGGAGTATTTGTGAGAAGTGATCTCAAATTAAAACACTTCGTAATCACTGCCAAAACTGACACAATGACACAATTAACAAAGATGTAGAGTATGGTTTTTAAATTTGGCTACATGGTATCAATATATTTAATTACTCAAAACTATTTTTCAATAACCTTATTATCATCGGAAAATGACGACAGGGTCTCATTGAGCCGGACACTCTCAAACTCCTGATTGCTGGCATAGACACGAAAGACTTTGAAGTGGGAGGATGGAACTCCAACAAATGGCTCCAAATGTTGCTTGAAGGCAGACAGTGTAATTCTTTTATCAACATGCACCACCAACCCTGAGCAAAAATGAAAACAAAGACAACATGAAACACCAAAAAAAGTATTTTCAAGTATTATTTATACTCACAGTATAAGCTATAGTAAAATTACTAAAATGATGGTCAATGGCCCTTTTCACATTTTACCTTTGGAGATTCACATGAGAAGCACCGGCAGCCCAGAGCTGGTGCTCTCTAGGTACTCAACACCTAAACTTTGATTACTTTTTATTTGAAGTACCAGTTTTTTCAATACTGTCATTACACAGAATATAGCATATAAAAATATACATAGTATATAAGCAGTAATAAAAACTAGATTATTTTAAGACACTTTAATACATACATTTTTGTCCTTCTCCTGAACCTTCATCTGCAGTGTAGGGTTCTGACTTAAAGTACATATATTGTGCTTCTCCTCTACTCTTGCCACTTTCATCATATTCACTATCAGTTCCAGAATCTTCTTCAGCTGTATCCCAGGTTTCTTTCTTCCCCTGATTCGCTTTGGATCGCCTACTGCTTGTGATGCTGTGTGAATCCAGCCCATTGGCCAAGGGAATTGGGGCACTGTCCACATTGCACAAAGTGTCACTGCTGTGACTGGAACTCAGGATGTCACTGTCCACCGAACTGGTGCTCCTGTCATTATTCACATCCGAATCCGACCGCTCCTCAGACTGCAGGTTTTCCGGATCAGAAACCTGAATCTGGTTTTCAAGCTCCCTGTTTTCTGCTGACGCTGAAGAGTCTATTTCATTCACTGGTGATTCAATGTTTTCAAAATCACTGGCCTCTGTGCTTTTGCTGCTATCCCCATTATCCGCCTCCTGCTGCTGCTGCTGCAGGGAGTAGCTTTTAAGCTTTTCAGTGCTTTCTTCCAGAACTGCATTTACGTATTTCATATTACCAACAGGTCCTTTCACTCTTTCACAGACTTCATCCAAGTTGCCTGAGTCTCCACTTGACTTCTGATAAACTGTTCGTCTGAACTGAGATGCAGGCGGTTGCTCTGGTAAGGAGACATACAGTCTGATTGTATTTGCATGACGATCCAAAAGTTTCCATAAGTGAGAGTCCATATACACTGCATGACGGTCCAAAGACTCAGAGCTTTCAATAAATACCTGAGTACAAAAAACAGGACTTAATCATAAAGTATCATCTGAAGAAACAGCAAAAAGCAACAACAGCAAACTCCTAGGATTCATCATGAACTAGAAGTTGTATCAACATGCCATCTTCTGCAGTCAAGCACGTTCAAAGAACATTTTACGGAAAAGATATAATAAAGAACACATAGCTTAAGAGGCATTTCATTCTTTTCATAACCATGTTAAGACTGAAATGAACAGCAACCAGACTGATAGGTGCAAAATAAGCACTTTACTTTTAAAAAAAGTACTACTTAAAGAAGTATTCCTTCCACTCATGAAGATGTTTATATACCACAAGGTGCACCTTCAATCTATACAGGCTACAAATAAGCACAAAATGAAAGGTTTAAGATCAGAGAACATACTTTGTTGCTTCTAAAAAAGCCTTCTGCTTTCAATGTTTTGCTGGACACATTCAGAAGACGCAAGTCATTGTAGCAACGTTCGAATACCACCCGCATCGTTTCAGCAGGCAGGTGTGTAGCCTAAAACAGGACATGGACGGTACAGTAAGATTTGCATTCTACAACCATATCAAATAGTTGAATATTTCTAGAAGCAGTAAGAGTAGGTAAGCCCAAAAGCAAAAGTGGTCTAAGCAAAAATGAAGAACATGACAGGAGTAAGCCTCCCAAGCCCACTCAGTCCCAGTCCATCTCTCTCCATCCTTTGACAAGTAATTTTTCCTCATAAGGCAGAAAGACCCCCAAATGTCTGGATCTTCTGAGAACTGGCAAGTTGCTAATATGAACCAGAACAAGTCTCATTCTTCATGGCATAAAGTATCTGAAAATACATATTATTGTCTATCAGGTTGGTACACTCTTATTAGACTGAAATAAAATTACTGGAACAAATATTATATCTGTTTCAAGGCCTCAAAATAGAAAAATGTTGAAATTGTTTCTGTTTCAACCATTTTTTCACAACTAATACTATGAAAAGTTACACCAGTCAGAACTGAGTTAGGCAGAGCTAATTAAAACATCTACCTTTTCCCAGGGCAAAAGCAGCAGTGAAGGTCCATGCTCTAAGACCATCTAAAATTAATCTGTATCTTAATGACAAAGGGCTGTTGGGATGAAGAGAGTCTGCGCAGAGAATAAGGACACAACTTTGGATGCTAATTTCCATTACCAAAGCCAACCGGGGAAGTTGTATGTCGATTCAGTTGTCCTGTAACAGTTTACTAGTTCTGGCACTGACAGGATACCTCAGTGAGATAACTCAACTTCCCAGCCTATAAGGACACAACTTGACTCTCCAGAACACCAGGGCAGCTGAGGCTGGGGAACACCTCTGGAGTAGCCCAGTCCAAACCCCTGCTCAAAGCAGGGTCAGGTAGGGCAGGTTGCCCAAAACCACTGCCAGTGAAGTGTCTAGCATCTCCAAGGATGAAAGCTCCACCATCTCTCTGGGCAGCTTGGGACAGCATTCAACCACCCGCTCAGTAAGGAAGGGCTTTCCTGTGCTCAGCCCCCAGGCAGCAGACTGTTCCTGGTAAGCTCTTAAGCCATGTGCCAGACAGTACCTAAGCTGGTGCAAAGCACTGCAGAACGGTGGATGGAAGCAAGAACCAGACTGCTCTAGGCAGCAGTGTAGTAAAGAGACAAGCTCAGCTCTGCCAACCCTTACACAATGCGCAGTCCAAATGAACTGTAGCAGGTGCAGACTTTAAATCATATTTTAACAATTAGAATGACTAAAATTTTTTTATACAATGCATGAATGATTCTAAGTTACCTTTGAAATAAGCTGTTTGAATTCTGAAACTGTTTGATTCAGATAAGCTCGTACACTTATTGGAGGAGCAACAGATTCAGTCTTCAGGTCAACTACATGAACCTTTACCATGACCTCTGTAGGAAAGAGGAAAAAGGAAAGATAAGCATGCACATGAGGCAATTCAACAGAGCAAAACCCCATTCAGTGTCTGATATACAGGTTAAGGCATTTCATAAATCCATTCAATTTTAGAAGTTCAACTGCAGAATTCCATTTTCAGATCAATTTTACTGCCAAGGAGCTAAAAATACCACAGCTTGCCCAATTTTTGAACATCTTACAACTACTTCAATTAGAAAAGTATTTGCTGTGAAGTGCAGTATGTAATTTGGAATACTGCCAGTTTCACAAAGACTAGTATAAAAAAGCTCTTCTCTTACACATCATGAGAAGTCCGATACTATGCAACTTTCATTTTCATACCATCACACAATGTATGATTTTAGTGCATCTTTGTATGCAATTAAATGACTTACCACCAGGTTTATAGCACTGGAAAAACTGGTCTGGTCTTCTTGTTTCCAAAAGTAAGTCAAACATGTAAGTTGATTTGACCCCTCCAAGTAATAGTCCCATTGGTGTATCCTCTTCTCCTTCATAAGACCGCTCCAAGTAGTCATGGAACTCATCATATTTAACAAGACGACAGCAATCCAAAGGAACAGACTCTTCCAAATCCATTAGCTAAAATGCAAAGATGGACTGTTTAATAGTGACTTATTTGTAGGTTTCACTTTTTTTCTTGTGAACCATTCATGCATACTTAGTGCATATGCACTATTCATGCACATGCATCTGTAACTTTTACTTGAGTCTACAAATTTCAGTTTTGGTCAGGGGACAAAAAGAAGTCTACACATGTGAAACAGAAGCCTGTATCAAATCACAGAACAGTTAAGGTTGGAAGGGACCTCTAGAGATCATCTGGTCCAACCCCTGCTCAAGCAGGGACACCTAGAGCACAAGGCACAGGATAACACGTGGCACTCTGTATTAAGATACAGAGAAGACAGAATAAGGAAACTGGAAAATATGTACACAGAACACATGGAGACCTGTCGCAAGAAATGCATGCAGACAGATAAAACCACTCAGAACCTTAAGAGGCATCCTAAGAGGCCAGGAAAATTGCAGACACTAATCATCACCTTTCACGTATCTCAAGGTGTTAACTCTCTCCAAGTCTACCCTACCTGCTCGAAACTCTTCTAGCAAATGATGTATATGTCAAAACAGTACAAGTAGGTTAAACTAAACTAAACTCACCAAAAATGCAGGCCTTCAACTGCTGCCTCTTTTTGGCAGACAAAAATCAAAAGATATTGTGGTGGCCAATGATGTCACTGTATTAGTTATGCAGGAAGTCCTCTTAGCACAAATCTAAGAGCTCATTTTGGTGCAATACAAATACCCAAGTTCAGGATTCTTTCCTATCACTGTGACCACAGACCAGCAGGCCTGTCTGATTTTAGAATATTGGTATATAAAGTCATACTGCCCTTGAAAGGGATGCATCATCTCAAACATGGAAATCACCTCATGGCTAACAGAAAAACTTGGACAACAATTCCCAAACAGAAGTAGCCTGCTATTGGAAAATACACAGCAATAGAAATTTAGACACTAATAATACATAACAGAAATGCAAAATACCAACAAATTATATCTAAAAGTTTAGCCGTACTGTTGCATATGATATACCTTGTAAGCTATTTCAACAGCTTCCTTCAGTGTCCTGTCCTTATGAACCTCTAATTTGTTCTCCATCATGATTTGTTTAACGGGATGCATGCAGAACAACTTAATCTATGGAATACAACAATAAAAAAGGTTAACACAAACTGCATACTTCTTTCATATTAAGTACCTCTAAATTTATAATTCTGTTTTCAACAAATCCAATAATAAAATACATCTCTAGTTCTACATCAGGCATGGGACAATTTCTATTCAGCTGGTTATAGAACTGCGAATAGAAACCATCAAGGATACAACAGATGGCAGGGAACTATTTATTTATGTACCTATACCTTTTTACAAGCTAGGGTATAACATGGTAATAACCAGGATATCCCTAATCTCTGGACTGTGTAAGATCCAACTATAAGCACATCATCTAAAACAAAATGCATATAGGAACAATGGATACGAAATTCCTTTTTCACATACATAGCTACATTTAGAGCAGAGAGCTTTCTGAGAAAGCAACTGACTGATTCTTAGGCAGAGCAGTCACTGATATAAGGACTGATCACCTCAAGTCACAGCTGTATGTTTTGTTTGTGGTCAAATTCATGTCAAAAAATCCATCTCTACGTCAAAGAACTAGCTACCACAAAAATCAAGAAACATTCTTTCAGAAAGCAAAGGATCACCATATTATTTGAAGAGATTTAATGGTACAAGACAGCTAACATGCCATGGCATTGTTTGGAATTCATTTTGCTTTTATCAAGTATTTGACAGATTTAAGAGGTTTTTGTAATAGTAATTCTGTTTTTAGAATAGAATTTTTTAATAGTAATTCTAGTTCACATGGAACACATGGACTCTACAAGAGTATATCTGGTAACCTCTAACAGATGCTGCTCTGTGTTGAATTCATTCTAAGCAATTCATTGTAAAAAATATATATGAGAATATTTATTACAAGGGTTATGGTACTGAATCACAATTTACTTCTTACACTTCACTGACAATATAATTCTATTGTTTTATAGTTCTATAGTTTCTATTCAGTAGAAATTCTAACCTTGCAAGTGTTCCGCTCAATTTCACGTTGTCTCTTTTCTTGTTCTTCCAATTCTCTCTCTTTCTGCACCAATTTTTTAATATGCTCTGGAAATTCATGTGCCTCAAGAAACTCTGTCAGGGCAAAAAAAGAAGTTTCAAATTTATAACAGAGAGGTAAAATGTTGGTAGACTTAATTTAGTTATTCTATTATAGGTAATATAATAGCAACTATGCATAATTTAACAATTTATATTCGTTGCTTTCTTCCCCTCTCCTTTCTCTTCAAATTTCCCAGTGACCCAGTCACACTTTCTTTCACATTGCAGACATAACTGATATCACCCCTGCTTTTGTTCTCCCAAGTTATAAACAAAACACACCCATTAGGCCAGAAAACATTACTAGTACAGGGAAATAAAATACAGTCCAGAAGAGTAAGTTTTACTGCTTATAAGGAAACGTGCTAAGTTTGTAGTAGATAATAAAGAGTCTTTTATAATATACAGGAAAACTCAGATCTAGAAAAAATGAAAAATCTGGTAATTAATATGATATTGTCATTACCATGATAAAAAACACAACACAATATAGATCATGGTACTACATGAGATTGTTCCATTAAAAAACTGAACATGTAATATTTCTATCAAGTTAAAAACAAAAGAATACAGTGCTAGAATTATCCCTACTCCAAGGAATGGGACAAACTTTCAGATGCAGAAGTGAATTTGGCAGTGCAAAGAAATGTGAAATAGCCGGGTTTCGTTTTTATTATTTGCTTCTTGAGGCATTTTCAGCCATAGCACTTGTGTGAAAAACTACTACTAAACACAGCTTGGTCCAAAAGTGTTCTTTACATGATTTTTAAAATAAATTTTCTTCACATTCTTAAGCAATCGAAAATTAACAATCACTGCTTCTTGTTCAGAACAAATAGTATTGTTTCAGTCAAAACGATGAAACAATTTTATTTATTGTTCTTAAGACTTACTACTTCATCTGTTTGTTCAAAAAAGGCCCAACAGTATCCTATTTGTGTTGAATCCACTTCAAACCTATATAAATTATCTACTTGAGATGCTTTTATATTAAAAACAAATAATGTATTTTAAAGTAATTGTACAGTTCATTAAGTAACAAATTTTGAGCACAAATGGAAGCCAGCAAAACTGATCTAACAGAATACTTTTTCCCCTCCTTATTTCCTCGAAGAAAATGCCATCGTTCCACTTTATAGAGAAAACAATGCAAAACGTAGTATTCCTGATATCATGTAAAGTACTTTAAGCAAGTACTGAAACAATTTCTGCTTAAAAAAATAGACGTGGCTTGTGCTGAATAGGATGTTGACTTGACATAGCTCAAAAAAATCTTAAATCTATATATCAATACAGAAATGGCTGTAATTCTCTTGCTAATTTGAATTGTTTCTAAACAAGCTTGTTTTTAACGTGCATTCCAAGAAATTAAAACTTCTTTTACTTGGCATTACCCCGCTATTTTTCTCTCCTAATTCTTGCTAATTGTAACCCAACTTTCTGATTGTGCAATTTACAATGTTATCTCAAGAGAAACAGTTCAAGGAAAGAAGTAACTATTTCTTTCCTTCCTAAAATAGTTACACCAGAGTAAAAAATGTTCTCTGCAAAGAGCTCTTACTCCCTCATCTGTCATACATCTTAGACACATAGACCTGTCTCAGTATGCACTAGCATTTGTATATTTGACTCTGAAATTCATCAACTCTATACAAAAAAACAGATACATTTTACATGTTTGTGTTACAAACCAATCAAATATACACATCTTCTATACTCTTGCATACTCCTCAAAAATAATGAGTACTCCCTAAGCAGACCTATTCCCTGTGAAGTGCTGCAAGTAAAGGACCATTGGTCCTGCTCTGTGATTACACTTCAAAAGCAAGATACAATTCCAATGTACCAAAACACAAATGAACTCTAATGACCAACACATTCCTCCTCCTAAGGAGGATTTTAAGATTCCTAACAGCTCAAATGCATTCTTCAGGGCTGCTTATCTCCTGAGCATTTAAAACGCAAAATGGATAGAAGAGGACTGCAAATTTATTATAGGCTTTACTTGTCTTTAAAAATTTATGTGGGTTCTCAACTGCTCAAGCTATTGTAAAAATTATTCACCAATTGATTTTGTGCATTTCATGACAATAAAGCGACAATACAGTTCCAACAATTAATCTTTCTACACACAGAAAGCTAAATAATTTACACTGTTCCTTAGGCTAACTCTAATCATCAGTCTACAGACTTTATCGGGGTAAATAACTTCTTTTCACCCTTAAAAACACAGTTTTTAAATTACAAATTCTGCTGTGGCTAACTTTCACCAGTTACGATATTAGGAAAACACTTGATTTTGCAATGTGGTTAGCCACTGCTCTTCAGGCTTCCTTTCCACAGCTCCACTTAAAATAGCGGACAGACACAAAGGGGGAAAAATTAGTGTTGTTTGCTTCTGTGTTCAACTCAAGATTCAAAACAAAACTCTACTTTCCCAGCTTTTACTTACTACTCCATTTTGGCTTCCACAACGTGCTCAAAGATATTAAATCAGAAATACTATTTCTAAGCAAAGTGAAATACTGAAAAGTTATAGGGAAGCTTGCTTTGTGAAAGCTATTTAGATCATCCTAAAAATACTGATACCACACAAAAGTTTTTCCTTTTCCAAGATAGGATCTTACTAGTAAGAAACTGAATGCACTTACTTGCATTTCTTGTTGGGTCCTTTAGTCTATATATCAGCATGTATGCATTTGTGGAGCTGTAAAAAAAATAAAAGTAATTAACTGACCTTATCAGGTAAGACAATGTGACCCCTCACAAGTTCTTTTTTCTTTCCCCATCCCTCTTCCCCCTCCCAGTAAAGAACTGGGACATACATATGTTAGAGCCATATACTAACCAAAATGATTTTTCAGAAATATCATATTACACTTGATCTGAAACAGGTGTCAGCATAATTTTAAAACTACTTCAATCATTCATCACAGTCTTTAAATCAGCATGTTAAACACATGCATCTTGATCATTCATTTGATTATACTAAAACTGACCAGAGTAGGGCTAACCTGGCAAATGCACTGGAGTAATAACCTCTGCTTCCAGAAGATCCACCATATGTTTTCTTAATATCTTCCTGAGTTATCTAATGGGAGATTAATAGAAAAATTATTTGAGAAACTTGAAATTATCATTTATTCTCATGAGGAAAACTGGCTTCACTCAATTAACACGACATTAATCATTCTAAATTACTTAGTATTTCATATCTGTTTATTTGCTGAGTGCAAAATACATTATTCAGGTTCTGGATTGCAGCAACATTTATCAACACATTTAAGACTTGGAAAATTTCAGCAGACCTACAAATGTAGGTCTGTAACCCAACAACTACTCTTCACGTGTACTGGAAGACAAAATACCAAACCCGGTGCAGTCTGTATGCAAGAAAGGGCTTCTTGATAAACCATCCCTCTCTTAGCACTGAGATCTTACACAATGTCATGGCATTCCAGCATTAAGCCTGCTAAGTATACTTTCAAATACTTTAAATACACTTTAACAACTGTCACAGGAGGAATATGCTATGCTTTGAAACACAGGGAAACACAGGAGAAGACTGAAACTGAAAGAAAGATTAATGACAGCGCAAATGGAAGCTCAAGACCAACTGTTCCTATCATACGGGCTGTATCAGGATACAAACACTCTAATAGCACGCCAAGCAGCTAAATTAAACCCAACAAGCAACTCTAGATAGTATAGGAGGAGTTACCCTGGAGACCAGTGGCATGTCAAGAGACAGCTAGCAAACAATACTGGTACAGTATCTGAAAATCACTGCTATCTGCATAGAGAGAGCTGTTCTTTTATTTCAAGTACAATGCAAAACTTAGGGGCTGGAGGGACAGGGGAAGAGACAGAAGAGCTGATAAACCTCTTGCCAAGTGAAATTCTAGGTTTAAATTCTGAAAACACAGCTTCATTTAAGACCGTTGAAAAAATATTACAAATTTCAATACATGGATTCAGGTATATGGATACAGAAGAAATAAAAATACTACTCTTACCTTGCTAACATGTTGATCATTAAAGCTGTACCACTGGTCATCACTGAAAGATTTGATACAGGCATAATAGTGGCCACCAGCAGCACTTCCAGAATGAACCATGACAGAAAAAAGCTCATACAGTAAAGAACTCTGAGGGGAGAACAAAAAGGTAGGGAGGTAGGGAAAAATAAATAAAAAGTAGCACACTGATCATTTTAGAAACACTTATTTCTACAACAATTAACACAAATATATGAATATTTGTATGTTGCACAACAGAGTCAATATGCTAAATGCTATATGAGAGGCACATAAATAAGAACACTCCAAGTATACACATTGTAGAAACCAGCATAAGATTCAGAAGAGTTTTTTACTGTCAAGAAAAACAAGGACAGACCAAACTTTGCAGACCTTTTCTACTATTCTGCAAGACACTTCCATAAGCTAAAGTTCGGACTTTAACATCCCCAAGTGAAAAACACTGCTCACAAGTCAAACCCATCTCCTATTCAAACCTCTCTTACAAAAATAATTTGTCTGGAAACAATCAGTCTCTAATCGGATGGAAAGATGTTATTTTTCCTTTTTCTTTAAAAAAGTTAACAAAAAATTTACCTTTTCACTGCTGATTTTAGAAATTCTTTCAGCTGCACTGTTGTTTTCAAGGCAGATTCCTTCATCAACACCATCATCATTGGAAAAGTCATTGCTCATCTGATCACTGTGACAGCTACCTTCATTCTCTGCTCCACTATCAGTGCAACTTTCAGTCTGAGGAGACTTCTTAAAAACAAGCCATGCATATTAATACTATAGATCACTTCATCACATGAAAAAGATAACAATATATTTATGAATTGAAAATACTAGGCAATAGGAGAATAGAAAACATTTTAACTCATCACTGCAGCTTCATTTGTATTTTACCACTAATTAGCCTGAGATATTTAAAGCTCTTAATTTTTCTGAAACAAAAATGTTAGAAAATTACATTTAATAAGCATGTAATGACAGAGCAAGAAGTAGCTACCCTACAAATTATTCTTTAAAAGATTCTGAACTGCCATTAAATATCTGTATTTTCCAATTTTGAGATTTAAGCAATTCCCTTGGAGTTTTTTCTTTAATCTTAGCATACGTCTCAGGTACCATTTTAAAATTTCTACAGCAGCTAAATACACACACACACGTTCTCAACAGTCTTCCAAGGAAGCATATTTAAACCTCAAGACAGTGCAGTAAATAGCTGAGATGAGAATCCGTAAAAGGGAAGATACTTAGTGAATATACAGTATGTTTACACTAGAGTTGCCATTTCCAGATGAAACCACACTGTATTATCACCTCCATGCAACCAGAAACAAAGGTTTTATTTCCCTGAGCTGCTCAGATTTATTTACTCCTCAAATGACTCATCTTAAGGAACACATTACAGATACACATCCACATCACAAAATACATAATACTGCATTTTGAATGACTGCTCTCAGAAATAAAACTTTATTTTTCCAAAAAGAACAATTTAGAAGTCATGTTTCAAGATTCCAAACAGTAATTTGTCATTTTTGCTACGAAAACTAAAACCAGATTTTATACCAGTGGGAACAAAGCAGAGTGAAGTATTAGAAAAAGCATGACCTATACAAAATAGTGGGAAATAGTCTGATATTAAAGACTTAGCACTCCTTCAGCTGGCTTCATGACGCCTTCTAATCTCCTTTCATTGATAATATTTGCCTGAATCTATCCGCATAGCCCACAGCTGCGTCCAACAAACTCCAGTATTCACAGCAATGAAACCTCCTCTCTAGAAGGAGGTTTCTTCCTGTTACTAACACTTTTTTCCTGTTAGTAACTGCATTTGATCAAACTCCTCGATCAGTATTTAAATGTCTTCAGCATACATGTATACAGCAATTGGTTTATACCAAGTATGAGCCTGTTCCCTTTATTACTTTATTCAAATAATTTGTAGTAGCAGATAGATTACTAATACCCTTCAATACTCTCAATTTAATAAGACATTAAATTCAACTGTATCTAAAATTTATATAGAATTGTCAAATTCTGTAAGTCCCCATTAACTGGAACTTATTTGATTAGAAATATATTAATCAGTCAAAACGTTTTTCCATTTCAATTCACTAGGAAGAGCTGTGATACGGGAGTAAGGCTGAATAATGATCCATTAGCTTAAAAGCAAGTGCCAGCAGCACTAGGAATGCGGCTTATTTGGTACCATTGCTATTAGCTAATCCTCCTTCTGTTTTTCTAACAAATATAGTTGAGATATTTTGGCCCAGTTCTATTCTCAGATTAATGATCAGTTTTATTTAACCTACCACTAACATGGAGATGTATCAAATTACTTACAAGGCATCTTCTACAAACCAAATATTTTTATGGGGCCTCCTTGTACTACATATAAAATCTATTACTTCTCTTATTTCTTCCCTATAAATAGGAAGATATTTTTGGGTAAACACAACAGTTAGTAAAAAGACACCAGCAGAGCTCTGTATTTGCTTGTTTCAGAGCAGCCTTACAGCTTGTGTTTCTAAATAGCTCATGTGAATGCACGATATGAAGTCAAGCAACAACTGAATGTAAACATGCAACCTTGTCATGATCAGCAAACCCATTTCTTTTCAAACTAAGAAAAATCCCCACAAACAGATTTTACAAGTTCAAATAAAACGTTGCCAAATCCGAAGAAAACTTCAAGTGGATTAATAACATTGCTAAAATCAACTTCTTAGACTAATATTTTTAATTTACTTTTAAGGGAATACAAGAAAGCTACACAATTCTAATTGAACTTTTTACCTCATCTTCAACATCAATGAAAACATTCATGTCTAGCTCCTCAGGAAAAGTCATGCGATCATTGAGTTTAATTCTGTGCATAGTAGTATAATCAAAGTCAAATCTCTTGAGCTGCAACGTCAGCAGATAGGGAAAATGGAGGAATCTGAGGCCCTAAATGAAACGGAGTTGAACAAAAAAAGATTTCATCACCATTGTCAGGATCAGTATTTGACAAATAATTTAAACAAATTGTCTGGACAGCATTTACCTTTCTTGCATCGCATTTCTTCTTGCATCTTTCACAAAAATACTGATTAGGGCCATCAAGAATCTCAGGCTGAATGAAAGCATGCAGTGCTTCTTCCTAATAATAGAATAGATGGTACCTGATTTTTAAAACCACTTTCTATGTGTGCATAAGCCAGAATGATAAATTTACAATGAGACTGCAATCAAATTACTCCATTTAAATCAACAGTCAAAGATTTGAATGATAAACTTCATAGAGACAGACAAAACCAGAGCAAAAAAAATTAAGACCAACTTTTCCGCTTAGACTAAGGGTAAGCGGTCAAAATATGAACAGTAATAAATTATTCCTGAATAATTTCATTCAGCATTTGATAGATCCACATGGTCCTGATTTTTTTGCACATCTTGTAAAATAAAACTTATTCCTGTTACTTTGCACATCACATTCAGTTTAGTCTGTATAATCAGTGTTTCACATCTGTATAATTAAGCTTAATCAGTGCCACACATCTGTATAATTAAGCTTATTTGAAAATCTCTTTTGGCCCTACCATTTAATATTTGAAAGTAATCAGTGAAAGTTATCAATAAATCCTCATTGCTCAATCGGAAGACACTCTGCAAAGGGACTTAAGCTATTTTGGAGAAAAAAGGTTCTTCTTTTCCCCTCAAATGAAAAAGGCTGAGGGGGAAAAGAAGGAATTTTTGTGTATTACTCCCAAAGGAGTGAAAATCATCCATGGCCATCTCTTATGAACATATAACAAAAAAAATGAAGTAACTGACTAACCACAATGAGCTAGGTCCTTCAATAGCTGCTTAAAAGATCTGGCTTAAGTAGGTGTTATACTTTCTCCTTAACAAAGTATAATCCAAAAAAACCTATACCTCCTCTTAATACAGTTGTCAGCAATAATATTGCACAAAAAATTGTACTTTGAAAGTTGTTCATACAAAACCCACCAAAATACTGTGATGAACACAGTATATTATTCTACCTGAAGATTTTTAGAAGATAAAACTTCTAATCCAATTAGCTTGTAAGCTGAGAGGAGACTGGGTTTCTGAACTTCAAATGGTACTTAGCTTTCTGTTCACCTGTGGAGGTTAAAACTGAAATACCATTGGTATACTCGGATGGTCAGTTTAAAGAGAAGAGGATCAACACAAAATGTTTTGAAAATAATCATCTATTATGGAGCACAGATGTTCCCCAAAATAGCCCCTGGGTAAGAGGGGCTATGCAAGCTATAACCCTCCTTAAATACGGTTGGCAGAAGCGCAAACAATTAGTGCATTTCGACTTTTCTACAGATACTATTTACAAAACAATGTGTTTTGTTGTTCCTGTTTACCCTACGTTTATAGGTCTGTATCTCTACCAACCTCAAGAAAGGACTGATGCATGATGTTTAATGGTTTCTAAAAACATGTCCCTGAATAAAGCAGTACTGAAGTACTCATACAATCCTGATATGCACACTGACAAAATCCCAGTGCCCGAGTATGCCTAATGAGGGTAAAGTATACTACATGACATGGACTTGAGGGAGAGAGGGCAGGAAGAAAAGAGAGAAAGCAGGGGAGACTGTGGGAAAAATCAGAAAAAAAATGATTCAAAATGCAAACCTTAAAAACATACTGAATAATTTTAGAATTATTTTGTATTAGAAAAACATTATTTTTCTCAAAAGCTCTTCAATATCCCCATTTATTTGAAAAGTAATATATATTTATATATAAACGCAATGTTTTAGGTATCTACATTTTTGGCAGTACACAATGTCGAACAGTGGGATAATAAACTTTACTTGGCATTCTACAGATTAACCTTAAAGCTTGTATATCCATTCTCTCTTTTTAGAAAGTAATGGAAAATCACTTACCTCTAACTAGAGTTCTTTGAAGGTAGTATCCTCCTTAGATCCCCTATCTTGGGTTGTGTCGCCTGCTGCAAGTTCCCATAGGAGCTGACTAGCAAGGTCTAAAAAGTTTTACATTCCCTTCTATAAGCCCTATTAGCGCATGTGTGAAGTTTTGGATCTCTCACTCATACCCTTTTACCTATACCTACTGAATCATCACCTATGGATCAATGGAGGATACTACCTTCAGAGAATTCCATTTAGAAACAGGCGATTTTTCCCTTCTCCAAAAGCAAGTATCCTCCATATCTCCCCACTGTTGAGGACTATAAAAATAACATCTGCTATACGTAAGACAAATGCAGGGAGGAGAATCAACTGAATGTGATCAGAATGCGAATTCAAAATAGCTCAAAAATTGAAGCATCAATACAAACTGCAACAATGTAACTCTCTGTGTAACAAAAAAATCTTAAAACTGGTTTCCTTATAGTACTGTGAACAGTGATTTACAGTACAAATATCAAATGTCACTGAAAATAATATTTTCTTAGTTCCTGTGTTTTTTTTTACAAACATGTATTTTTAAAAAAATCGTTGCTATAGACTTCTTCCCCATCAAAGAAAATAATTTCAATTTGAGACACATGTATGATGCATTGTTAAATGCAGAATGCAATTATGAAATGAATAAAGTTTTCCTTTTCATTAATAGGTCAAAAAAGTCTCTTGTTCACTGAATAAAAATGACAACAAAAATCTTCACTTGCTTTAGTGAATATTTCTACATATGAGTTTTAAAGGTGAAAAGGGAAGCCAGTTATAGAAGCCAATCTCTGTAAATGGAATTGCAGCCAAAATATAGTTTCAATTATTTGAATCAATACTAATAAATTTAAGTGTAATTTTAAAGGTTCCAAAAGATTTTACTAGCTTATCTTTTTTGTGTGTGAGATCAATATTCATCATAACTAACTCTTCAAAATTGGGATTTGAAGATTTAAAGCACAAAATATTCTGAAGCTACAGTTTAATCGAGATATGATAGCTCTTAACAAAATTCCCATTAATGACAGACTATTGCTGCTTTAAAAAACAGTGCCAACATACTAAATATGAAAGGCACAATTATTTTATATACAATAAATAATATTGTTAAACAATCACATATTGGGTAATTGGCATAAAACCACCTTTTCCCAAAAACTGTTTGACATAGTCTCTTTCTCAAATTCATCCATATCACAGATAAGTTAAGCCACAATAGTGATATTTTACTCTTTGTAATGACTTTTTTTGGGAAAAAGGAAAAGAAATAAGTTCATAGATATACTAACTACATGTGCTTGCCACATCAGCACCACTGGAGCAAAGCAATAAAGAATATGGATGTAAACAGGACTTTGTGTTATTACAAATTGCTTCTTAAAAGCATATAGTATTTAAGAAACCTCAAAAATACAGCAATAACATGGCTAATAAACTAAAATTCCAAGTTAATATTCTGTTCTTTTACTAATGTTTTCAATAATACTAGGAAAATTTTGCAGATGTGCCAATAGAGAACAGCACAAAGAAAACTTGGTGATCTCACAAAATATCTTAGGTAAACTCTGAGAAATTTATCAAGAAAATTGATGACTGCAGCCCTAAGGCAATAAAATTGCACTTCCCCTCCCCTTATACATGCACCAGTAGGACTCATTGAAGGGTGAAAGAAAAAAAAACAAAAAACAAAAAAGCAAAAAAATCTTCTAGAACTTGCTAGCTGGTTCACTGCACAAAGACGAACACCCCAAGATGGAGTATCTAGGATGATACTTACCACATAACAAATTATACCACTGTCGCATTATGTATTCTATGTGTGTATGGATGCACTATTAGTCAGCATAATAGTACACACCACGCTAGCAAACGCCTGGTTGGAGCCGTAGGGCCGGATGACCAAGGGAATATCCAGGTAAGTGTCAATTCTCCATCCTTCGTAGCCGCATTCTAGACATCTTACATAGTCTTTCAGTTTGCCTTGATACAGCTGATTTATAAGGTCGGCCTGAAACAAATGTTCAAGACAGCTTGAAACAAACTGAACAGCACAGATTTCTCTTCAGTTTTACAACAAAATGTCTTTTCAATCACATTTTAATTGCACACATGCACATTTAAAATGTACTATCTTTCTCCCACCTTAGGGAGAAGCGGCTTGAGCTGAGAGAGTCCACAATGCAGCCTATAACAATACTGACAGTGAGTAAAACCCCACAGGTATGACACACTCAGTTTCCACTTCAAATAAAGAATTAAGTACCTAGACATCAGAATATTCCAACTTTTATTTGGAGAGTGAAAACATAAGCAACAGTCTCAGAAAATGCTTACATGATAGCAGACACAATCGCACCTCAAAAAAAGATACAAATGACAACTATTATAGACTTCAAATAATCTGATACATGAAATTCAGAGCTCACCTTCAAACTCATTATCCCTAAATGAGCAAATACATCCCTCCAAGAAGTTTTGGTACAATTACCTGTTCTGTTTGCTTCCACTTCTGCTCCAAAGCATCAAACATGACTCTACAAAGCTCCTGCACATCATGCTGTTGCCATGCTGTTAAAAATGGAAGTTCAAGAAAGGTAAATTGACTGCAAAATTACCTGTAGGCAAAGAATTCTTCTTAAAAAGCTAACTTACTTTCAATTCTGTTCTTAAAATATTTGCTGTATTTCAATTCCACAAGAAGTTACCTCTCAAATGGTTAAGTTGGAGCAAAGAGCAGCCAACTTGCTCACAATTTATTATACAAGTGAGGGTTCTGTCCGTAAGCATATGTAAATACTAAGTAAAAGGTAATGTTCCAAGTTATAAAATAAACTGGCCTTGACTTGCTTCCCATTGCATGATAATTCTCCAGAATTCAAATATATTTCCTTGTAGCATAAGGACACCAAAATCCAATTCCTTCCTTACCATCATGCAAATACTCCATACTTCCCTTACTGCATAGTAAGGGAAAGTAACCAGCACATGATAGGACCAGACACAGGACTAGTGTAGATGTGTTGAGCACAAATACAGTGCTTGGTTCTATGGAATTTCCCATATTATTTCCTGCTTAACTGGAATGTGCATTTAACAGTTGTACTTCAGAAAAGATGGAAGTTTCTCATATACTTTAAAACAATGACCTTTAAAATAATGACCTCTCACTTTAAAATAATGACCTTAACCGGATTACAAAAATGTAGTGTTTTTTTAATTCATTTGCCTAAAACCAGCAGAATTCATTTCTTTAAGCGTAAGTATCCACTTAAGCTCCATTATTTCTATCGAAGTGGATTGCAATTCCACTTGTAAATTATCTGAGTATTTTTCTATCAACAGCAGCTTAGGCCTCTAACAGACAATGGATGACAAGAAAACAGAAAACCACATGAGCTTAAGCTGCTTATTACCTTCACTACTATCCCATCCAAAACTCCGGGTTACATCTGTTGTTTCAATTGCTCGCTTTTTGCTGGTTTGCAGTAAAACAAATAGTCTTTGAAGCTGGTAAGGGATGCTTGTCACTGGATCCTCTTCAGATTCTTCAAACTCCCATCTATTTGCAACATAAGATATGTGAAAATTAAAAATGCTTTGAAAGTAACAAAGAGACATTTTAAATCAGCATTTCAAGAGTTTTGCTAGATTTGCTAGACAGAGGGTAACTGAAACTGTCTCAGGGAAAGTTAAGGTAATTTTTAGCTTCTTTTCATGTCTTGTAGTAAACTACAATACTAAACACACTCACATGTATCAATCTAAAATATAAAGAATTTGGAAACCATCCACTGCACACATGGGCATGAACTGCACTTAGTTTCAAACCTCACTGCATGTTTAACTCTGAATACAAGAGCTTTCCTTTAAGAAGGACATATAACATACTCAAATACTCTGGCAAAACTTGATGATTTTTAAGCAGCTATAATGTACAGTAGCTTATATAGCTTGACTAAGTTTTAAAATAAGCGAACTTTTGCTTCAAGCAATTTTCTCCAATCATTTTCCTGCAGTTTAACCTTTGTCCATACCACTCTGTCCACTTCAGGTTTCAATATCCAAACAAGAATGTTTTGACATGACAAATTCATACAGCTCTACTAACACTTTATACCGGGATGCATGTAAGAGATTTTACTATGAACCTAAGACGGAGTTTTGATCATACATACTCACTTGTATAACGCATTTCTAAATTCAGGAGTCATGAAAAGTGTTTGTAGAAGGCTGTTCAAGTAGCAAGTCATTGCTTGATTTACTAGTCCCACATAGCCTATAAATAAAAATAAGATTAAAATACTGTGATAGAAAATTTTGAGAATTAAAATACATTTGACTAGAAAAACAATACTGTGATCTTGTTTACATAAGCTGTATTCAGCTCGTCATTAAAAATGGTTTTGCATTGTAAAAATTTTCTTTTCTACTTGCTCACTTTGGAGAGGAGTAAAGAATGAAAGTTTACATGTTACATGTTTCCTTGAATTACATGAAGCTGTTTTAAAGATGATTAATTTTTTCACAATAATAACCAATAGTTTATCTCAATTGCTCAATCTAGACATAGGTAATACCATGAATATTTTTATAGCTTTTACTAATTTTACTTATGAGTCCAAAATCTACTTTGAAAATTACTTTGCATTCTAGCTTATTGCCTGGACTCTCGATATCCTACTTCAAATAATTTTTATCTCTATTGGTTTGTACAATCATCTCAACTATAAATCAAAAGTCTCTAACATGACCAAGCACTTTCTTGTGCTGAGAAGAAAATCTTCTTCCATAATAATCAAGACGGCTGCTAAAATCAGCTTCTCATTTTTATTAGCTGATAAAAGAAATTATTTACTTATATTAATGTATCATTTAGATGCTAATTGTCTCCATTAATCATGGTTGAAAAGCAGCATTTACTACAGCATAGTGTAATAAAGAAATGAAATATGCCTTTTATATTTTGAAGCTCAATAAAACTAAATACTAAAAATTCCACACTGGTAATAAAAAGGCAGCCACTCCTTGCAAAGCACAAAGATCTTCTGTGAAGAGACTAAGTTAGGACACACATTTTATACCATTTCAAGCTAAACTGCTTCTTTTTTCATATCTATATTTAGCTATGTGGCAGAAAAACCAATTAAATGAAAAATAGCCCCAAAATACAAATTAGCATAATATTTCCTTTGTGCCGGCTCAAAACATCAACATTAATTAACAGCTGGTTGTCATACTACTCAGTTATAACTTAATGGGCACATCATACACCATAGTGTTATGTGTAAGTATGTGCAAGTGCAAAGCACAGACATTTTTGCATCAGGCAAAATGTACTGTATGACCGATGGTCAAAAAACGGGCAGACAAGGATTAAAAGCATCACTAAACCAAATGAGTGAGTGCTGGTAAAGAATATGGACAAAAGTATGAAACAACACAGAAGAGTATGAAGCTCGAAAGAGACAGTCCCAACTAAGTATTTCATGCTCCTGATATTAAAATCCTAGAATTAAGCAGCTGGCAATCTTTAGGCACAGCTGCGTGGTATTTTGGTAGAGCATAAGAGAGCAATAAATATCTTGACAACTCCAAACAGCTTTTTTCCCCCGTGGCCTCCTACTCTTTCCCCCATGTCCTCTTCCTTTTGACAAGCATTTACTCTACAGTATTTTGGGCCAGCAAAGGGAGAGGAAGTCAAGAGCATAAGGCAGCTGTGCCCAGACTGCAAGAGGTGGCAGCAAACATTGCCTGATTGGGCAGAGGTTGTCTTCTCTTCTGCACAACAGATGCACCCAACCAAATGGGATCTGCCCTGGCAGAGCTTCACTTCCCTTTTCTGATGGAGTCTCAGCTTGCCCATGGGAAGCCAGACAGCAGAGTGATGAAATCTCTTGGGGAATCACAGGACAGGCAGAGAAACAGTAAGCAGGGCTTACACGAGTGAGATTTGAGTAACAACTGGAGTGCAAAGATTTGGGAACAGATCCTGTTTAAAAGTGTGTTAAGTATTCATTAAGCTCTTAGAGAAGACACAGACAGTAGGATGGGTATTTTTTAAATACAACATTGGCTACTCAATTTGGGATGTGGTAGCAGAATATTACAGAAAAGGAGATTCCCTGACATTAAGACTTTGAATTACATTGTCACAAATAAGAAAAAAGTGAGATTTTCTTTTTCCAAAATGAGAAGATTCTAGAAAACATGATTTTTTAAAAAAAAAAGAATTATAATTTCTTTCAAAAATACTAACAACTCTACTGTTTGAAAATATGCTTAAATAATTACAAAATAGTATTGTCTTTACAAGATTTATACCTGTCTCAGATTTGCTCAGGACTGAAGAATAAGAGTAGTTTTGACTGACGTAATCATTGGTGCAGCCAACAGAGCCTTCTCTTGGAAGAGGGCCTATGAATCTGTCTTGGGTACTGTCATCTGTTGTACCTGTCTCCTCCTAAAAACATAAATATACATACTTTATGCAAAAGTTAAGCAATACTTAACTGAGACATCTTTGCTCTCACAAGAAAATAATTTTGTTAGCATATCACATACCAAAAGTTTAAGAAACCTTTTAGGACAATAAGTTTACAGCCACATGTGTAACATATATCACTTCTGCTCTAAAAACCCTCAACTCCTTAAAATCTATTCTTTTAATTAGTGGAAGCAAATGCTGTTTATACAGTAATATATTGCTGCTTTTCTAATCACATACAGTACTATATAATGCATACAGACAAATCTTGCAGACAAGTCTGCAGCATCAGTTTAAAAGTTACACTTAGCACTTTTGCTCTGAGGGGGAAAAAAGAAAAAAACTGGAAGCAGGCAGCAGTCCTGTCAATGCAAGATTGTCCTTATTGAAAACTGAGTAGCCTATTAACTTTCAAACATCCAGAGGAAAATCATTAAGTATATGAAAAATTCTATTAAGATTTGTCTCTAAACAAGATCAGTTGATTACATAATCCTAGAGAACTACTTGTAAGAAGTATTACATAAGAAGTTAAAAAAACAACAATAAAAAGTGACAGCAAATGATTACTCAAGGAAAGGTATTCTTACTTAGACCAGCAAGTATAAATAACTAACCTAAGAAGGAGATCCGATTAGAAGTTTTCTGAGGATTACATGTAACATGAAACAAAATTTCATTTCACGTTAAGACCTTATGACACAATCAATACTTCAGAAACATCTTATCCTCCCATCCCTGCAATAGCTTACATAATTTCACAAGGCTTTTGCTTACCGGCATCATACGAGGCTGTTCACCATCTTTGTCTGTCAAATACAGAAAGTTCTTCTTCCCTGACTCAAAGCCAGCATCAAGAATACTCTTGTCACTGTTCTGCTCTATTGGGGTCTGTTAAAAGAAAATTACACATCTTTTAAGCCAAGTTTATGTGCAATTCTGCATGTTTTAGAACAAGAGAAGTTGAGCAAGCATCAACATGACTTGAAGTAAAAGTCTAAAGTTTTACAATATCTATTTTAAGGAATCTTATGAAGCTTTCTATAGAAATCCATAGGATTTGCATAAATTATGCCAAGCTGGGTTTACAAAAAAGCACAGTGATTTCTCGTCTTACCTTGTACTATAATTTAAGCAGATAAAAAAGCAACCAGCAAAGTCACTACATGTCATGTCTCTTAAAATGTTTCTCACCAAAAAATCCATAGGAAATTAGGTTAATAACCATAGATGATATTAAAAATACTGAAGAGGGAAAGTAGAATGACATGTGAACAACCACAATTTCCTTTGCTCAATGTCAAATAAGTATATTAAGATAGCATTTGAAATTAAAATATAAATATTACATAAAATAAATTCAGCAAGTCAAGATAGCAATGATAGCCCGGTCAGCAAACCTATTGCTAATTTTTACAAAAATTAAATGAGAAAGTTTAGCAGCACTGTTATGAAGCACTATGTTCTATAACACGGAGATTTGAGCATCTGCTATTAATGCAAACTTTTATAAAAGGGGGAAGAGGTGGGGGACACTTACTGTATCAGTTATGTTATCTCCATTGCCCCACACTAAATCAAAAGTTCCGTTCACATAGCCCACTTTTGAAGCCACATCTTCAAACAGCCTTTTAAGCAGGGTGGAAGCTGGCAGATTTAAAGTAATACGTTCATTTACTGTCTTGGAATTTGTGGTATCCTGTACTATGCACAGCACTCTGGGCTCCTCAGCAGCACTTTCTATCTGAAATGACAGCAGATAACAATTCAGTGAGTAAAACTAACATTTTAGAGTTTACTTGAAAAAAGACAAAATATAACCTCAATGACATGTAGTATACTTTCTTTTTCTTTAAAAAAATGGATTTAAGCTTGCTTTCAAATACAAAGACACTTTTAGTTATGGGATATCTCCATAGAAGCACAATTCTTTTCCACAGGATAATGAATTTGAACAGGTGAGGCAGCACATACAAAAATAAGCGCTCCAAGTTCTGCAGCAAACTTCAGCCTTGAAATTCTTAAAGAAAAATCCATCCCTCAAAAAAAAACACTGCTTCAGACCAAGAACAAGCTTCCAAATTATGGATGTTCATATTTTCATATTATTCATTTTTCCCTTTAGCATGCAAATAAGAGACTGATCAGGTAGAAACGTTTTTGTGACTCCTGGGAATGCAAAAAAAATCTGCAAACTTCTGATAATTCTTCCCAAAATATCCAAAGGATCTGGATATCTTATATTTGAATAATTATTCTAGAATGTTAAAAAATAATATTTAAACACAGGTCAAACAAAGTGTGAGATGGGTAAAAGGACTAGTCATAGTCCTCAAGGAGTCAGCCACTTCAATTTGTAATACAGAGAAAACATTAGTAATGTCTATCAGAACACTGAAATGCATGGCTGAAATCCATGGCTCCAGTCCACGGCTCCACAGCATAAAGTCTTGAAAAACAGACAGACCCACGATCTGTCACTGCTATCTACAGTCAATAAAAAAATAAAGAAATAGCAGGAACTATGTTCATGCTAAAATTGAGAATCATATTGCAAAAATATGTTTTTTGTAAACCTACAGAGAAAAATTACAATGACAACCTAAATAACATTAGCAGTCTTCAGATTTCTGAACAGTAACCTTACAACACTGCAGAGATGCTGCAGAGTCCCTTAGAAGAGTTCTTACATAAGCAAAACTTTCAATGAGAGAAATGTTTTAGCTGTTTCTAGCACATGCGAAAAGTTTTTCATTTGAAACTCAACTCCTCGTCTTATCGCCCTTAAACCACCCATGCCACAGTTCCATTCTCTGCAGAAAGCAACCATAAATTCAACTGCACACTTTCGCCACCATTTTTGATAGTGAATCAGGAATGACTAATATTGAAGTTGCTACAGAAAATAAGTCAAAAAGATACTAGAACTGAAAGACTGGGAACTACACAGAGAAAACAGACTAAGAAAGCAAATTATAAAAGATCACAGAAGATTTGCCTGTTAGGTTGCTGGATGTTCCAGATCAGGCAAATCCCCACTTGCTTGTTCACACATACAATTCTGACAGACCGAACCGGTTTAACTCAAGGTTATTATGGCAGAAGATACTAAGCCAGCACTTATGTTCTCAGTACTTAAAAATTATTCATAATAAATACACGAAGCAAAAATAACTCAAGAACAACTTTCCCTGTAACAAGCATTCACATATATTTTTTGAATGAGAACACAAACATCTTTTCGTAGCTACTTTACTGTAACTGCAGTGTAAAATGCAACGCTAGCAAGTGACAGACCTCTGAATTATTTTGACACAGACCACTGCAAAGCTGAATTTGCACAGCAAACCAAACACTTTAATTACATAACTGGATATACTATAAGACACGCTTCCATTTTTCTGACTAAAAGCTTCGGAGGGCTACTAAATCCCACACTAATATAAAAAGCACATGAAGGGAGCTGTGAAGCTTCCACTGTTAGAACTGCATCTAGTGCATACATAACCTTTGTATTCAAGAACATGCACAAAACTCAACAGCTCATGCTCATGTTAAGAATTAATGAAAGCTACAGCACATGCTGTTACTGTGTATCTTAGTTATAACTTCATAAAAACTGATTTCATCTGTCTACCTGTGAAAATTTCTTCTTCATTTCAGCAAAGATACTTTGTCTGCAACTCCAAAACATATCCTATAGTGTATAAAAACAAAATTAACAAATAATAATTCTTTAAAACAGTAAAATTACTTTTTTCCCCCAGAAGCTTCTATAGTTTAAGAACTATTACTGAATTTTAAACCACCATGCACAGAATAACTTTAAGGAAACAGAATCCAAACAATACAACTATACAAGTTTTCTATTGATATGGAGTTTAGTGTTTTTTTTTTTTTTTTTTATAAAACATCTAAATTATTCAAGTTTAGAAGCAGTACTACATAAAGTGTTACTAAGTTTTGATATACTACAGATATTTCATAAAGCTTAAAAATGGTGTAATAAAAACATCCAAACAACATTCCAGGAAATAAAGTCATCCTAACACATTCCTTCATTGTGTTAAAAATGCCTTTAAATGCAGATGAACATTTTAACCTCAAATGGCTCAAACGCAAGATTAACATATAACTAATTCAGTTTGTCATTACTTAATTTTAAAGTTAGCTAGTTTCATTTGAAACTCTTCCTTCATTTCAGAGATATTTTCTCATATTAATATATGATGACATCTTGATATATTCAGTTTAAGGTAAAGTCATGAAGTTATTGCCTTTCATCATTTCCAAAGCATTCAGAGTCTGCCTTAGCTTTTCTGTTGTGCTACCGAAAACGCAACAATAAATGTTATCTATGCAGAGCTGCTTGTCAACTATAAACAAACATTACATGAACGATTTTCTGAATCTGCGACTTCATTCTTCGCATTATTCCAGAAAAGAAAAAAACATTCAGGAAAAGAATGATCTTATTTCACATATTCACTCTTAACTGTGTAACTGCATGTTCTATAGCCACCAAGATCACTGCAACATATAAACTACTCATGTAATCTGTAGCAATGTGGCCTGTTTGCAGCTGTAAAAATAGCCATAACTAGATCAAAATTTCACAATTTAACTTATGTCAGCAGAACACCAAGTAAGGACAGCTTTATTGTCCTGTATGCAGAGAAGAAAAAGTTCTAGGCTTGAAGTTCTAAAAACTTAAGATTAAAAATGTGTCTAGTAATTGCTTTCTTCACACACTAGCTGGTAATTTCAGTCTTAATAGATGTTCCATCAAGAATTCCAAGGTTTCATTGCTATCAGGTTCTGCTGCTCTCAACAAATAGTTACATATACCTTGATGACCAACTTGAAGGTTAAAGTCCATTAAACACAGTAAAAATCAGCAACTCTACATTATGACAATCATCTGCATACTGTGCTTTTCTAAAGAGCTAAGTCTTCCAACAGGCCTTGGAGCAGGCAAAGTCTGAAGGACTTTGGCCCACATTTCCTCTTCCTGCAGACAGGTAAATTAAGTCTGGTAAACAAGGGGCATATGTAGCTTCCAGGTGTGCTGTCTCACTGTGGCAGGTGGAGGCAGGGGGAATGCTCCAGGCATCAAAGCTGGACAGAAATACATACATTTCACTACTATTCAGAACTAAGAAGCAAGCAATAACAACATTCTTATTTCCCAGTATAGAACTGCTGGAAGATTTTCACTTTATTTCACACTAAATACATTCTGCATGGCACAACTTGATTTTCATTACACCATTTAATGCATCATCCAAAAAACAAACTTGCAAACTATATTGCTTATATGATGTTCGGCAATGAATAGCCTTCAATTGCTCGGACAGGACAAACTGCACATAAACATAGAGGTTCCCAAACCTGTATATGGATAACAATGTGCTGGATCAGACTTGCATATGAATTTTTGTAATAAATAGAAAATTGTTAATCATATGTGGACCAACACAGATAAAATTTATTTTCAGACAATAAAAGAGTCTCCAAGATCTTAACACCTATTTCAGTGTAAAGCTACTGTAAATAAAATTTGAAAAAGGAACTGAAAGTGAAACCTAAATGTTATGTGAACTTTGAGCTTAGCTTTATCTGATGTTTCTGTATATAGAATACTTCAAAAAGGCAAAAACACCAACATGAACAAGTAGGTAGAATCAGAAGTTTCAGGTAAAGAGTTTAAACAGCTGTGCCAAGTTTGACTGCTAAGTGAATTTAATGGCTTACTAAGACTTAAAATAATCACCAATACAGAAGTCTCTAAATGTTCACACCTTATAAACAATTCTCATAAACTAGTGCGATACTGAGGAAAGATCACAAACAAGTGTCAAGAACATGGTCAACATCATGCTTCCATCTACAACATGGCTTGCTGATTAAGCCTAAGATAGCACTTCACAGCCTTCATGTAGCATCAGCAACCTGATTTTGCATGAAATGTACACAACTCAGTACTGCCTATCAACTTCCTGTTTGGCAGACTTGAGTGTGCACTCTGGATCTGTCTGATTGCATGCATATTTCCAGCAATTATAAATTTAAACTTAGTGGCCTAAACCACAATAGAAGCAGTTTTCACTAGATGTTTTAATTTCTGATATACTGCTGCATAAAAACGCTCATGCACTAACTATAATTGAACTGACATGAGGTTTGTTTCAACTCTTCAGCAACACCAAATCATTCTTGGATGAGTTCCTTGAGGACCCACAGCTATACTCTAAGAATCTCTTCATCTATTCCAAGAGTTTCCAGTTTGCTTATCAACAAATTTGATTCATAATGACAACAGGACATTCTGCATGAAGGCCAAACTTCTTCCACACAACCAAAATACAGAGAGGAAAAATAAGGGGAGAATAATGAGACTGATCTAAATTTCCATCTCCACTCTAGAAACTTCTTAGAGCTCACAACTCCCTTCTCCCATTGGCTGAGCTGTCCATACTTTTACTAAGCCTTTTTTTTCAAAGGATATCTTCCCTAAAGGAGGTGAGAAGGTCACTCCCCGGGGAAATAAAAGAGGGAGTGCAGAAGTCCCCAGAATGATTGGAGCACTGAATAAAAGCTCTCCATCATTTTGCATACTACTATAGTTACTAAGTGACCCCCTCCCAAGAAATTGACTCATATTTGGCTGTGTTTTAGAAGAACAAAGCAACCTCTTTTGGAAAGATAGAGCTTACAGAACTAATTCTGGGAATATCATGAACT